AGGCAGAATATTACAATGGGATCACGCTGTCCTCTCACAAACCATACTGGACAGGCAGAATATTACACTGGGATCACGCTGTCCACTCACAGACCATACTGGACAGGCAGAATATCACACTGGGGTCACGCTGTCCTCTCACAAACCATACTGGACAGGCAGAATATTACAATGGGGTCACGCTGTCCTCTCACAGACCATACTGGACAGGCAGAATATTACAATGGGATCACGCTGTCCTCTCACAAACCATACTGGACAGGCAGAATATTACACTGGGGTCACGCTGTCCTCTCACAGACCATACTGGACAGGCAGAATATTACACTGGGGTCACGCTGTCCTCTCACAAACCATACTGGACAGGCAGAATATTACAATGGGATCACGCTGTCCTCTCACAAACCATACTGGACAGGCAGAATATTACAATGGGGTCACGCTGTCCTCTCACAGACCATACTGGACAGGCAGAATATTACAATGGGATCACGCTGTCCTCTCACAAACCATACTGGACAGGCAGAATATTACACTGGGGTCACGCTGTCCTCTCACAGACCATACTGGACAGGCAGAATATTACACTGGGGTCACGCTGTCCTCTCACAAACCATACTGGACAGGCAGAATATTACAATGGGATCACGCTGTCCTCTCACAAACCATACTGGACAGGCAGAATATTACACTGGGGTCACGCTGTCCTCTCACAGACCATACTGGACAGGCAGAATATTACAATGGGATCACGCTGTCCTCTCACAAACCATACTGGACAGGCAGAATATTACACTGGGGTCACGCTGTCCTCTCACAGACCAGACTGCACAGCCAGAATATTACAATGGGATCACGCTGTCCTCTCACAAACCATACTGGACAGGCAGAATATTACACTGGGATCACACCGTCCTCTCACAGACCATACTGGACAGCCAGAATATTACACTGGGGTCATGCATGCTGTCCTCTCACAGACCACACAGCACAGCCAGAATATTACAATGTGATCACGCTGTCCTCTCATCCTCCATACTGGACAGCCAGAATATTACACTGGGGTCTGAATATCCTCTCACAGCAAACACTGCACAGTCAGAATATAACACTTGGGTCACGGTGTCCTCTCAATGGACCATACTGGACAGCCAGAATGTTACACTAGGGTCATGCTGTCCTCTCACAGACCACACTGAACAGCCAGAATATTACAATTGGCACACGCTGTCCTCTCACAGACCATACTGGACAGGCAGAATATTACAATGGGGTCACGCTGTCCTCTCACAGACCATACTGGACAGGCAGAATATTACAATGGGATCACGCTGTCCTCTCACAAACCATACTGGACAGGCAGAATATTACACTGGGATCACGCTGTCCTCTCACAGACCATACTGGACAGGCAGAATATTACACTGGGGTCACGCTGTCCTCTCACAAACCATACTGGACAGGCAGAATATTACAATGGGGTCACGCTGTCCTCTCACAGACCATACTGGACAGGCAGAATATTACAATGGGATCACGCTGTCCTCTCACAAACCATACTGGACAGGCAGAATATTACACTGGGGTCACGCTGTCCTCTCACAGACCATACTGGACAGGCAGAATATTACACTGGGGTCACGCTGTCCTCTCACAAACCATACTGGACAGGCAGAATATTACAATGGGATCACGCTGTCCTCTCACAAACCATACTGGACAGGCAGAATATTACAATGGGGTCACGCTGTCCTCTTACAGACCATACTGGACAGGCAGAATATTACACTGGGATCACACCGTCCTCTCACAGACCATACTGGACAGCCAGAATATTACACTGGGGTCATGCAAGCTGTCCTCTCACAGACCACACAGCACAGCCAGAATATTACAATGTGATCACGCTGTCCTCTCATCCTCCATACTGGACAGCCAGAATATTACACTGGGGTCTGAATATCCTCTCACAGCAAACACTGCACAGTCAGAATATAACACTTGGGTCACGGTGTCCTCTCAATGGACCATACTGGACAGCCAGAATGTTACACTAGGGTCATGCTGTCCTCTCACAGACCACACTGAACAGCCAGAATATTACAATTGGCACACGCTGTCCTCTCACAGACCATACTGGACAGGCAGAATATTACACTGGGATCACGCTGTCCTCTCACAAACCATACTGGACAGGCAGAATATTACACTGGGGTCACGCTGTCCTCTCACAAACCATACTGGACAGGCAGAATATTACAATGGGATCACGCTGTCCTCTCACAAACCATACTGGACAGGCAGAATATTACACTGGGGTCACGCTGTCCTCTCACAAACCATACTGGACAGGCAGAATATTACACTGGGGTCACGCTGTCCTCTCACAAACCATACTGGACAGGCAGAATATTACACTGGGGTCACGCTGTCCTCTCACAAACCATACTGGACAGGCAGAATATTACACTGGGGTCACGCTGTCCTCTCACAAACCATACTGGACAGGCAGAATATTACACTGGGGTCACGCTGTCCTCTCACAAACCATACTGGACAGGCAGAATATTACACTGGGGTCACGCTGTCCTCTCACAGACCATACTGGACAGGCAGAATATTACACTGGGGTCACGCTGTCCTCTCACAGACCATACTGGACAGGCAGAATATTACACTGGGGTCACGCTGTCCTCTCACAGACCATACTGGACAGGCAGAATATTACACTGGGGTCACGCTGTCCTCTCACAGACCATACTGGACAGGCAGAATATTACACTGGGGTCACGCTGTCCTCTCACAGACCATACTGGACAGGCAGAATATTACAATGGGGTCACGCTGTCCTCTCACAGACCATACTGGACAGGCAGAATGTTACACTGGGGTCACGCTGTCCTCTCACAAACCATACTGGACAGGCAGAATATTACACTGGGGTCACGCTGTCCTCTCACAAACCATACTGGACAGGCAGAATATTACACTGGGGTCACGCTGTCCTCTCACAAACCATACTGGACAGGCAGAATATTACAATGGGGTGACGCTGTCCTCTCACAGATTATACTGGACAGCAAGAATATTACACTTGGGTCACGCTGTCCTCTCACAGACCACACTGGACAGCCAGAATATTACAATGTGATCAAGCTGTCCTCTCACAGACCACACTGGACAGGCAGAATATTACACTGGGGTCACGCTGTCCTCTCACAAACCATACTGGACAGGCAGAATATTACAATGGGGCCATGCTGTCCTCTCACAGACCACACTGCACAGCCAGAATATTACAATGGGATCACGTTGTCCTCTCACAAACCACACTGCACAGCCAGAATATTACACTGGGGTCACGCTGTCCTCTCACAGACCACACTGCACAGCCAGAATATTACAATGGGGCCATGCTGTCCTCTCACAGACCACACTGCACAGCCAGAATATTACAATGGGATCACGCTGTCCTCTCACAAACCATACTGGACAGGCAGAATATTACACTGGGGTCACGCTGTCCTCTCACAGACCAGACTGCATAGACCATACTGCACAGCATATTACAATGTGATCAAGCTGTCCTCTCACAGACCATACTGCACAGCCAGAATATTACAATGGGATCACGCTGTCCTCTCACAGACCACACTGCACAGACCATACAGCCAGAATATTACAATGTGATCACGCTGTCCTCTCGCAGACCATACTGGACAGGCAGAATATCACACTGGGGTCACGCTGTCCTCTCACAGACCACACTGCACAGCCAGAATATTACACTGGGGTCACGCTGTCCTCTCACAGACCACACTGCACAGCCAGAATATTACACTGGGGTCACGCTGTCCTCCCATAAACCACACTGCACAGCCAGAATATTACACTGGGGTCACGCTGTCCTCTCACAAACCACACAGCACAGCCAGAATATTACACTGGGGTCACGCCGTCCTCTCACAGACCACAAAACACAGCCAGAATATTACACTGGGGTCACGCTGTCCTCTCACAGACCACACTACACAGCCAGAATATTACACTGGGGTCACGCTATCCTCTCACAGACCAGACTGCATAGACCATACAGCCAGCATATTACAATGTGATCAAGCTGTCCTCTCACAGACCATACTGCACAGCCAGAATATTACACTGGGGTCACGCTGTCCTCCCATAAACCACACTGCACAGCCAGAATATTACACTGGGGTCACGCTGTCCTCTCACAAACCACACAGCACAGCCAGAATATTACACTGGGGTCACGCTGTCCTCTCACAGACCAGACTGCACAGCCAGAATATTACACTGGGGTCACGCTGTCCTCTCACAGACCACAAAACACAGCCAGAATATTACACTGGGGTCACGCTGTCCTCTCACAGACCAGACTGCATAGACCATACAGCCAGAATATTACACCGGTGTCACAATATTCTCTCACAGCAAACACTGTTCAGCCAGAATATTACACTTGGGTCACAATATTCTCTCTCAGCAAACACTGTTCAGCAAGAATATTACACTGGGGTAACAATATTCTCTAACAGCAAACACTGTTCAGCCAGAATATTACACTGGGGTCACAATATTCTCTCACAGCAAACACTGTTCAGCCAGAATATTACACTGGGGTCATGCCGCTCTCTCACACTACACTCGGAACAGCAGGATTAACGTACTTTTATACGATTGATGTCACATCACAATGAAGCCACCCTCACAACACGTCATATCAGCAACAAACCAAACCATGGATCAACACTCATCGAGTGGCCTATATCTCTCAGGAATCTGATGTGGTACATGACTTGCAATTTCAACTGCAGAAATACTTTATACACGCCGCATTATGTTCTCCATAGTTCCAGTGTGTTACATCTGGAGATCTAGGATATCGCCTTATTTTGCTTGTCATCTCGCAATCTGTTCAGTGCTTATCTTTAGAAGACGGATTTTCAGGTCAGCGAAAAACCCAACTGTTAGTTTTCAGCTGAGCACACTTTTCTCACGTGGGTCGTATATAACTGTGGACATTGTTGTGAAACAACGACATTCAAAGCCATCGTCTGACCATGACCGGCCTACGTCTCCTGGTGGTGCTGGTGTTTGTGCTGCCCTCTCACGGCGACTTCCCCTTCAGGAACACGAGTCTGTCCTGGGACGAGCGTGTGGACGACCTGGTGGGCCGCCTCTCCATCGAGGAGATCATGTACCAGATGACCAAAGGAGGCACTAGCCCAGGCAATGGCCCCACTCCGCCCATCCCCAGACTTGGTATAGGGCCCTATTCCTGGAACACGGAGTGTCTGAGGGGAGACGTGGAGGCGGGGAACGCTACCTCCTTTCCCCAGTCTCTGGGTCTGGCGGCCGCCTGGGAGTAAGTAGCACAAGTTTAATGTACAGCGGCTTTTTAAATCTTATGTAGATGGAATTGTTTTTGGCTATCTTTAACTCTTATATGACTCCAATTCGCTGGAAAAGTGTTGTATCTCACAGGTATCAGCTTCGGATGGATATGTCACACCACGATGACCTAGGCTAATATCCCTATGCAGGTATGGATGGTGAAATTAGACATGCCAAATACTCACAGAATCTCAATCTACATAAAAGTATTTGTTCACCTACGAGGACAGAGACACACTCGTTTATAAATACTCACATGTTGCTTCATGTTACAGCCCCGATGTTGTGTACAAAGTGGCAGAAGCGACGAGCGAAGAGGTTCGAGGAAAGTTTAATGATTTCGTAAAGAACAAACAGTACGGCACCCACAAAGGAATCAGCTGCTTCAGCCCCGTCATCAACATCATGCGCGACCCCAGGTGGGGCAGGAACGAGGTAGTGTGACATGACAGATAGGTTATCAGTCAAGTAAACCTTTAGTTGTACACGTTTACTTGAAGATATCTGAATCAGGGTTAGGGTTAGGGTTAACTTAATCTGTTTCGTGATCCATTAGTAATCATGGCACATCCAATGACCACTGTCCACAAAAGCCTCTCATCAAAAAGAGCAATGTTGTTCAGACAGTCCAGTTGGTCCATGTCCTAACAACCAGTTTCCACAATAACCTCTCATCAAGAAGACCGCCTCCGTGGTCTAGTGGTAGAGCGTCCGCCCCGAGAGCAGAAGGTGGGGTTCGATCCCCGGCCGCTTCATACCAAAAGACTTTAAAAGATGGTACTTGTTGTTACCCTGTCTGGCGCTCGGCATTAAGGGGCTAAAACAAAGACTTGTCGCCTCGGAATCAGTATACTGTGTATGAGTGGGGTATTCATGTTAAACTGCGGCGTGGTATCTCAGTGGGCTATCACTATGAATCGACATCAGTCCGGACTAGTACAAGCAGCCACACAGACACACACACACACACACACGTGCATGCACGTCATTATGTAAGTGCAATAATCTTGGACGCGACGTTAAACCCAATTTCACCTCACCTCACCTCACCTCACCTCACCTCACCTCACCTCACCTCACCTCACCTCACCTCACCTCACCTCACCTCACCTCACCTCACCTCACCTCACCTCACCTCACCTCACCAAGAAGAGCAATATTATTTAGGGAGTCCAGTTGAACCATGTCCCAACAACAAAGAGCTCGTTCTGAGTTGGAGATACAAGCCAGGGCAGTCCGGGGTTCTGTGTAGGTATTCGCTTGCCATCGTTGTCCTGTTTTACAACCTGTACCCTCAGTTGAGAGGTATGAAATCTCCTTTAAGAACGTTGAATAAAGACATGTTATAAACATTTCGACTTTGATTCACGATGCATCATATTGTCATGGATGGCACTCAGCCACTTATGCTAGATGCTATGTGAGATTGCAACAATTCAAGACAAAATGCCTCTTCTCTTCTATATTTTCGACTTTACTCAGCTCAATACATATGAATTCTGCCGTAGCCATGTCACTCCGTGTCTAAATGCATGGCAGTTACATCGTAATCATTTCTGTGTCGCCAGGAAACCTACGGAGAGGACCCCCACCTGACTGGTCAGTACGCCGCCCACTTCGTGTGGGGACTGCAGGGGAACCACCCCCGCTATGTCCGAGCTAACGCCGGGTGTAAACACTTCGATGCGTACGCCGGCCCGGAGAGCATACCCGTCAGCAGAATGTCTTTCAATGCCGTTGTAAGTAGACCACGTGTCTCTATCAGTAAGCCACGTATTTGAAACATTACGCTAAGTATCTTTGTCAGTAAAACAACGTGTCTTAATAAATAAATCGGTAAACCACGTGTCTAAGTCAGTATACCAAGTGTCTCTACAAGCTTAACACGTAAAACCACGTGTCTTTTTCAGTAAACAAACGTATTTGAATCAGTAAACCACGTGCCTTTATCTGTACATTCATATGTCTGTACAAGTAAACCACGTACCTGTGTCAGTAAACCCCTTGTATATTAGCAATCCAAGTGCATGTGTCAGTAAACCACGTGCTTGTTTCAGTAAACCAGTAAGATGCCTCTGTCTACAAGCCCCAATATCCATACATAAACCCTGTGACTGCATCTGCCTGTACAATGCGTGTTACCATCTCTGTAAACGGGATCTCAGTCATACACTGAATGTTTTTTCCAAATTTAGATCGTACTGTGTCTGAATTGTGAACTTTGGTTTCTACTTTTCTTGGTTTTTCGGCTGTTACAATTGGTATAAAGAGAACATTTAACAATTTCTTCAACTGCCCTCCCATTGCCTATTCTAAGGTTTCAGAGCGAGACTGGCGAACCACATTCCTGCCCGCATTTAGAACATGCGTCAAGGCGGGGACCTACAACATCATGTGTAGCTACAACAGGTATGTGCCTTCATAGCATGCGTCAAGGCGGGGACCTACAACATCATGTGTAGCTACAACAGGTATGTGCCTTCAGAGCATGCGTCAAGGCGGGGACCTACAACATCATGTGTAGCTACAACAGGTATGTGTCTTCAGAGCATGCGTCAAGGCGGGGACCTACAACATCATGTGTAGCTACAACAGGTATGTGCCGTCAGAGTTTGCGTCAAGGCGGGGACCTACAACATCATGTGTAGCTACAACAGGTATGTGTCTTAAGAGCATGCGTCAAGGCGGGGACCTACAACATCATGTGTAGCTACAACAGGTATGTGCCTTCAGAGCATGCGTCAAGGCGGGGACCTACAACATCATGTGTAGCTACAACAGGTATGTGCCTTCAGAGCATGCGTCAAGGCGGGGACCTACAACATCATGTGTAGCTACAACAGGTATGTGCCTTCAGAGTATGCGTCAAGGCGGGGACCTACAGCATTATGTGTAGCTACAACAGGTATGTGCCTTTAGAGCATGCGTCAAGGCGGGGACCTACAACATCATGTGTAGCAACAACAGGTATGTGCTCTCAGAGCATGCGTCAAGGCGGGGACCTACAACATCATGCGCAACATTTTAAGATCTCTTTTCCGTTTCTCTGTGTCTACTGTTCCTCAGTTCCTTCTAGTCATCTATTGTTCTGCAATACCAAGCTCTTTTCCTCTTTTCCTTATATTTCTCAGTTTCTCCGCTCCTCGTGTTCATCTTGACCTGTTAATGATATGATCTGTTCCTCTGTTCCTGATATACATTTGTTATACATATATGTTATTCGTGTTCCTTGTATCCCCTATGCCCCTGTTCCCAGCATCAATGGTGTACCAGCGTGTGCCAACAAGCGGCTGCTGACGGACATCCTTAGAGACGAGTGGGGTTTTCAGGGCTACGTCGTCAGCGACCAGGGTGCAATAGAAAACATCATCGGCTCCCACCACTACTTAAACAACAGCGTAGATACTGTAGCAGCCTGCGTCAATGCTGGATGTAACCTCGAACTTGCAGGCAAAGCGGAGGCCGTGTATCTGTCTATGTGTGAGTAACCACTTCCCTCATACACATGTGCAACCACCTATGTGTCAGTAACGACATCCCTCAAGCACAATGCGCAACCACCTATATGTCAGTAAAGACATCCCTCAAACGAAATGTGCAACCACCTATGTGTCAGTAACGACATCCCTCAAACACAATGTGCAACCACCTATGTGTCAGTAACTACATCCCTCAAACACAATGTGCAACCACCTATGTGTCAGTAACGACATCCCTCAAACACATGTGCAACCACCTATGTGTCAGTAACGACATCCCTCAAACACAATGTGCAACCACCTATGTGTCAGTAACGACATCCCTCAAACACATGTGCAACCACCTATGTGTCAGTAACGACATCCCTCAAACACATGTGCAACCACCTATGTGTCAGTAACGACATCCCTCAAACACAATGTGCAACCACCTACGTGTCAGTAACGACATCCCTCAAACACAAAAGAGTGTGCTTGATGTTTAGACGGTGGAGTTATTGTTGTCCACACAGTAGAGTACGTGTTGTCCAGACAGTAGAGTGCTTGTTGTTCAGATAGTAGCGTGCTTGTTGTTCAGATAGTAGCGTGCTTGTTGTTCAGATAGTAGCGTGCGTGTTGTTCAGATAGTAGCGTGCTTGTTGTTCAGATAGTAGCGTGCTTGTTGTTCAGATAGTAGCGTGCTTGTTGTTCAGATAGTAGCGTGCTTGTTGTTCAGATAGTAGCGTGCGTGTTGTTCAGATAGTAGCGTGTTTTTTCAGTGGATGCCGTTAAGCAGGGGAAGCTGACCGAGGACCTAATGAGGGAACGAGTTAAGAAGCTGTTCTACACCAGGATGAGACTGGGAGAGTTCGATCCCCCCTCCATGAACCCGTACTCCACATATGACCTCTCGTATGTAGAGTCCGCGGCTCACAGGGAACTCGCTGTATGGGCTGCCACAAGAACATTTGTCCTCCTGAAGAATGATGGCGGGTTTCTTCCACTCAAGCAGAAAATCGACACTATTGGAGTATGTACTAGGACTCATTACACAAGCTTATGGTTCTTCAAGCATATTTTTGCGTCTCCTGGTTGTGGGCGTCATGACAAACTGTGTACCGTCCTTCACCATGACTGTGTACCCTACTTCACCATGACTGTGTACCCTACTTCACCATGACTGTGTACCCTACTTCACCATGACTAACTGTGTACCATACTTCACCATGACTGTGTTCCCTACTTCACCATGACTAACTGTGTACCATACTTCACCATTGCTGTGTACCCTACTTCACCATGACTAACTGTGTACCCTACTTCACCATGATTAACTGTGTACCATACTTCACCATGACTGTGTACCGTCCTTCACCATGACTGTGTACGATATTTCACCGTCACTAACTGTGTAACATACTTCACCATGACTAACTGTGTACCATACTTCACCATGACTAACTGTGTACCCTGCTTCACCATGACTGTGTACCATACTTCACCATGACTAACTGTGTACCATACTTCACCATGATTAACTGTGTACCATACTTCACCATGACTGTGTACCGTCCTTCACCATGACTGTGTACGATACTTCACCGTGACTAACTGTGTAACATACTTCACCATGACCAACTGTGTACCATACTTCACCATGACTAACTGTGTACCCTGCTTCACCATGACTAACTGTGTACCATACTTCACCATGACTGTGTACCGTCCTTCACCATGACTGTGTACAATACTTCACCGTGACTAACTGTGTACCCTGCTTCACCATGACTGTGTACCCTACTTCACCATGACTGTGTACCATACTTCACCGTGACTAACTGTGTACCATACTTCACCATGACTAACTGTGTACCATACTTCACCATGACTGTGTACCATACTTCACCATGAATAACTGTGTACCGTCCTTCACCATGACTGTGTACCATACTTCACCATGACTGTGTACCCTACTTCACCGTGACTAACTGTGTACCGTCCTTCACCATGACCAACTGTGTACCATGCTTCACCATGACTAACTGTGTACCCTACTTCACCATGACTAACTGTGTACCATCCTTCACCATGACTAACTGTGTACCATCCTTCACCATGACTAACTGTGTACCCTGCTTCACCATGACTAACTGTGTACCGTCCTTCACCATGACCAACTGTCTACCATCCTTCACCATGACTAACTGTGTACCCTGCTTCACCATGACTAACTGTGTACCCTGCTTCACCATGACTAACTGTGTACCCAGCTTCACCATGACTAACTGTGTACCCTACTTCACCATGGCTAACTGTGTACCCTGCTTCACCATGGCTAACTGTTTACCCTGCTTCACCATGACTAACTGTGAACCCTGCTTCACCATGACTGTGTACCATACTTCACCGTGACTAACTGTGTACCCTACTTCACCATGACTAACTGTGTACCCTACTTCACCATGACTAACTGTGTACCCTACTTCACCATGACTGTGTACCATACTTCACCGTGACTAACTGTGTACCATACTTCACCATGACTCACTGTGTACCATACTTCACCATGACTCACTGTGTACCATACTTCACCATGACTGTGTACCGTCCTTTACCATGACTGTTTACCATACTTCACCATGACTAACTGTGTACCGTCCTTCACCATGACCAACTGTGTACCATGCTTCACCATGACTAACTGTGTACCCTACTTCACCATGACTAACTGTGTACCCAGCTTCACCATGACTAACTGTGTACCCTGATTCACCATGGCTAACTGTTTACCCTGCTTCCCCATGGCTAACTGTGTACCATACTTCACCATGACTAACTGTATACCATGCCTCACCATGACTAACTGTGTACCCAGCTTCACCATAACTAACTGTGTACCCTACTTCACCATGACTAACTGTGTACCCTACTTCACCATGACTAACTGTGTACCCTGCTTCACCATGACTTACTGTGTACCCTACTTATCCATGACTAACTGTGTACCCTACTTCACCATGACTACCTGAGTACCCTACTTCACCATAACTAACTGTGTACCCTACTTCACCATGACTAACTGTGTACCCTACTTCACCATGACTAACTGTGTACCCTGCTTCACCATGACTAACTGTGTACCCTGCCTCACCTTGTGGGCGTCATGACTAACTGTGTACCATACTTCGCCATGACTAACTGCGAACCTACTTCACCATGACTAACTGCGAACCTGCTTCACCATGACTAACTGTGTACCCAGCTTCACCATGACTAACTGTGTAACCTACTTCACCATGACTAACTGTGTACCCTACTTCACCATGACTAACTGTGTACCCTGCTTCACCATGAATAACTGTGTACCCTATTTCACTATGACTAACTGTGTACCCTACTTCACCATGACTAACTGTGTACCCTACTTCACCATGACTAACTGTGTACCCTGCCTCACCTTGTGGGCGTCATGACTAACTGTGTACCATACTTCGCCATGACTAACTGTTTACCCTGCTTCCCCATGGCTAACTGTGTACCATACTTCACCATGACTAACTGTATACCATGCCTCACCATGACTAACTGTGTACCCAGCTTCACCATAACTAACTGTGTACCCTACTTCACCATGACTAACTGTGTACCCTACTTCACCATGACTAACTGTGTACCCTGCTTCACCATGACTTACTGTGTACCCTACTTATCCATGACTAACTGTGTACCCTACTTCACCATGACTACCTGAGTACCCTACTTCACCATAACTAACTGTGTACCCTACTTCACCATGACTAACTGTGTACCCTACTTCACCATGACTAACTGTGTACCCTGCTTCACCATGACTAACTGTGTACCCTGCCTCACCTTGTGGGCGTCATGACTAACTGTGTACCATACTTCGCCATGACTAACTGCGAACCTACTTCACCATGACTAACTGTGTACCCTACTTCACCATGACTAACTGTGTACCCTACTTCACCATGACTAACTGTGTACCCTGCCTCACCTTGTGGGCGTCATGACTAACTGTGTACCATACTTCGCCATGACTAACTGTGTACCCTACTTCACTATGACCAACTGCGTACCCTGCTTCACCATGACTAACTGTGTACCCTACTTCACTATGACCAACAGCGTACCCTGCTTCACCATGACTAACTGTGTACCCTACTTCACCATGACTACCTCTGTACCCTATTTCACTATGACTAACTGTGTACCCTACTTCACCTTGACTAACTGTGTACCCTACTTCACCATGACTAACTGTGTACCCTGCCTCACCTTGTGGGCGTCATGACTAACTGTGTACCATACTTCGCCATGACTAACTGTGTACCCTACTTCACTATGACCAACTGCGTACCCTGCTTCACCATGACTAACTGTGTACCCTACTTCACTATGACCAACAGCGTACCCTGCTTCACCATGACTAACTGTGTACCCTACTTCACCATGACTACCTCTGTACCCAACTTCACCATGACTACCTGTGTACCCTACTTCACCATGACTAACTGTGTACCCTACTTCACCATGACTAACTGTGTACCCTGCTTCACCATGACTAACTGTGTACCCTGCCTCACCTTGTGGGCGTCATGACTAACTGTGTACCGTATTTCACCAGGTTGTGGGCGTCATGACTAACTGTGTACCGTATTTCACCAGGTTGTGGGCGTCATGACGTTTGAAGGCAACAACACCGTCGGCAACTACGCCCCCAACACCGACCCTCGGTTCATGTCGCGGACAATCGACGGTCTGAGAACGCTTGGGAACGTGGTTCAGGCTGCATCTGGCTGTAACGACAGCATGTGCGAGAAATACGATGCCGCCGCTATCAAAAAGGCAGTTACCGGTGTCGACGTGTTGTTCATCACGTTAGGAACAGGTGGATATATTCTTGTTTGATAGTCTTATATATGGTATTGTTTTTGTCGTTTCTATATAACCTTTATATCGGTGACATGGTAACATACCCACATGCTGGTAACTAGGGTAACATACCCACATGCTGGTAACTAGGGTAACATACCCACATGCTGGTGTAGTGATACAACCTCAATGTTGTAATTAGGGTAACATACCCACATGCTGGTAACTAGGGTAACATACCCACATGCTGGTGTAGTGATACAATCTCAGTGTTGTAACTAGGGTAACATACCCACATGTTGGTGTAGTGATATGACTTCAGTGTTGTAACTAGGGTAACATACCCACATGCTGGTGTAGTTATATGACTTCAGTGTTGTCACTAGGATAGCATACCCACTGCTCTCTCTGTGTATGACATGTATTTTTTCTCCAGGAGCCAGTATCGAGAAAGAAGGACACGACAAACCGGACATTGAGCTGCCAGCCGGACAAGTGCAGCTCCTAAAAGATGCCGTCCAGTACAGTAAGTACATACTACGTGATAACATGTCCTTCTCTATCGTGTATCATGTGATATCATGGTATACTGTACAGTAAGTACATACCACGTGATAACATGTCATTCTCTACCGGTTGTACGTATCATGTGATATCATGGTATACAGTAGAGTGAGTACATACTACGTGATAACATGTCCTTCTCTATGGTGTATCATGTGATATCATGGTATACTGTACAGTAAGTACATACCACGTGATAACATGTCATTCTCTACCGGTTGTACGTATCATGTGATATCATTGTATACAGTAGAGTGAGTACATACTACGTGATAACATGTCCTTCTCTATGGTGTATCATGTGATATCATGGCATGCAGTAGAGTGAGTACATACCACGTGATAGCTTGTCATTCTCTGCCGTTTGTACGTATCATGTGATATCATGATATACTGTAGAGTGAGTACATACCACGTGATAGCACGTCATTCTCTACCGTGTGTACGTATCATGTGATATCATGGTATACAGTAGAGTAAGTACATACCACGTGATAGCATGTCCTTCTCTAACGTTTGTACATATCATGTGATATCATGGTATACAGTAGAGTGAGTACATACCACGTGATAGCATGTCCATCTCTACCGCGTGTACATATCATGTGATATCATGGCATGCAGTAGAGTGAGTACATACCACGTGATAGCATCTCATTTTCTACCGCTTGTACGTATCATGTGATATCATGGCATGCAGTAGAGTGAGTACATACCACGTGATAGCATGTCATTCTCTGCCGTTTGTACGTATCATGTGATATTATGGTATACTGTAGAGTATGTACATACCATGTGATAGCTTGTCCTTCTCTAACGTTTGTACATATCATGTGATATCATGGTATAGTGTAGAGTGAGTACATACCACGTGATAGTTTGTCCTTCTCTACCGTGTGTACATATCATGTGATATCATGGTGTACAGTAGAGTGAGTACATACCACGTGATATAATGCCACACTCTACAGTTCAGAGAGTACACACCAGACAGTGTGTTGAAACGCTCAATGGACACAAAGCTCCCCACACAGTTCAACACAATCATAGTTATGATGCAAACAACCATACATCAGTTCAACAGAGACAGCGCAAGCCACGTTTCTGCGTGTAACAATTAATAATAAATGATAATGAACATCATGTTTTTACAACAGATGATATCGGGATGAACGCGCATCCGAGGTGAACGGAAATGAGTTGACCAATACTCATGGGAAGGTCTTGGTGATTGCCCCCATAGAGAACTCTGCCATTGAACAACTGAGGTTTCAGCTTTACATTTAAATATTTTCAGGTGGGAATGTCCCGATAGTTCTACTGCTATTTAACGCTGGTCCTCTCAATATGACCTTTGCTGTCGGGAACCCTCGCATCGTGTCCATCATGGAGGTGTTCTACCCTGCCCAGGCCACGGGGGAGGCGCTCAGGAGGGTCCTCACCAACGATGGGGGAAACAATGTCCCCGCCGGAAGACTTCCCTACACATGGCCCAGGTCTCTGGATGGGGTAGGTGAAATGTCCCCATAGGAAGACTGACCTACACATGACCAAGGTCTCTGTGTGTGACATGTTCAGTGAAGTGCCATGACGTATCACGCACACGCCAATGAAGGCTTTAATCTGTTAGGTAGTGTGGTATTGTGTTTAAGACGTAATGCCTACATCCTAGTGATTATTTAAATATTATGACCTATATGAAAAAAGCTGGGTAACCAATTCAAGCTAAGGCGTTTTAATGTGTCTAGTTCCCCGAGATGGTGAACTACTCCATGGACGGCCGCACCTACCGCTACTTCAACACAGAAGTACTCTACCCCTTCGGATATGGCCTTTCATACTCCACGTTCTTCTACAAGGAAGTGACGTATCCGGGATTGGTGAAGGCAGGACAGAGCGCCAATGTAACCACAGTGGTCGTCAACAACGGGCCTTATGCCGCTGACGAGGTTCGTTTCCAGTCGACCAGATCGTTGTATATGTGTATCTAAGTGCATTTTGCGGTAAACTAGTCCCAATCGGACATTTTGAACCCATCTCTTGAGACCCACAGAGGGTACTCGGGTAGGATAGGGTAATAGAGGGTTGGGTATCTATCATTTCCGAAATTCACTTTGCCATATGTGTCATGAAGGCATTGCACTCGTTTGCCCATGACGTGATCCATGTTGTTCTGTTTATATCAACATGTGGATGCCAACAACATTCCGATATGCTGTACAGTAATTCAGTCTCAAGTCACATGATGCAGTCATTTATTGAATGTATATTACGAGTGGAAGCACAGCATATACGAGCGTATGCTTACTTAGAAACGAACTGACTCACTTGCTTCCACTCCACAGGTAGTGCAGCTGTACGTGCGATGGGAGAGCCCGTCCGTCCCCACCCCCAAGATTCAGTTGGTGGACTTCAAGAGAGTGTCCTTAGCGGTCAAACAGGAGCTGGCCGTCAACCTGACCATAACAGCCCAGAACATGGCGATCTGGGACGACAACAACGGCTGGATAGTCGAGGACGGTAAGTTGTATAAAGGCAAAGCCAGTCGTGTCTGCGTCCTCTTAAACCAGGGGGGGCGGTCGGGTAGTCTAGTGGTTAAAGCGTTCGCTCGTCCCGCCGAAGACCCGGGTTCGATTCCCGACAGGGGTACATGTGTGAAACCCATTTCTGGTGTCCACCGCCGTGATATTGCTGGAATATTGCTAAAAGCGGCGTAAAATCATACTCACTCACTCTTAAACCAGGGCATAAGGGGCGCATCAAGGTGGATCAAGGTGGTGCTTTCTAACCCTCACTTCTTCTGTGTATGTACAGACCGCCTTGAAACCCTCACACATTCTGTGTATGTGCAGGCCACCATGCAACCCTCACTCATTCTGTGTATGTACAGGCCGCCTTGAAACCCTCACACATTCTGTGTATGTACAGGCGGCCGCCTTGAAACCCTCACTCATTCTGTGTATGTACAGGCCGCCTTGAAACCCTCACACATGTTGTATATGTACAGACCGCCTTGAAACCCTCACACATTCTGTGTATGTACAGGCCGCCTTGAAACCCTCACACATTCTGTGTATGAACAGGCCGCCATGCAACCCTCACTCATTCTGTGTATGTACAGGCCACCATGCAACCCTCACACATTCTGTGTATGTACAGGCCGCCATGCAACCCTCACACATTCTGTATATGTACAGGCCGCAATGCAACCCTCACACATTCTGTGTATGTACAGGCCACCATGCAACCCTCACACATTCTGTATGTACAGGCCGCAATGCAACCCTCACACATTCTGTGTATGTACAGGCCATCATGCAACCCTCACACATTCTGTGTATGTACAGGCCGCCATGCAACCCTCACACATTCTGTATGTACAGGCCGCAATGCAACCCTCACACATTCTGTGTATGTACAGGCCGCCTTGCAACCCTCATACATTCTGTGTATGAACAGGCAACCGTGCAACCCTCACACATTCTGTGTATGTACAGGCAACCATGCAACCCTCACACATTCTGTGAATGTACAGGCCGCCATGCCACCCTCACACATTCTGTATATGTACAGGCCGCCATGCAACCCTCACACATTCTGTGTATGTACAGGCCGCCATGCAACCCTCACACATTCTGTGTATGTACAGGCCGCCATGCAACCCTCACACATTCTGTGCATGAACAGGCAACCGTGCAACCCTCACACATTCTGTGTATGTACAGGCAACCATGCAACCCTCACACATTCTGTGAATGAACAGGCCGCCATGCCACCCTCACACATTCTGTATATGTACAGGCCGCCATGCAACCCTCACACATTCTGTGTATGTACAGGCCGCCATACAACCCTCATACATTCTGTGTATGTACAGGCCGCCATACAACCCTCATGCATTCTGTATGAACAGGCTGCCATGCCACCCTCACACATTCTGTATGTACAGGCCGCCATGCCACCCTCACACATTCTGTGTATGTACAGGCTGCCATGCCACCCTCACACATTCTGTATGTACAGGCCGCCATGCAACCCTCACACATTCTGTGTATGTACAGGCCGCCATGCAACCCTCACTCATTCTGTGTATGTACAGGCCGCCATACAACCCTCATACATTCTGTGTATGTACAGGCCGCCATACAACCCTCATACAACCTGTATGAACAGGCTGCCATGCCACCCTCACACATTCTGTATGTACAGGCCGCCATGCCACCCTCACACATTCTGTGTATGTACAGGCTGCCATGCCACCCTCACACATTCTGTATGTACAGGCCGCCATGCCACCCTCACACATTCTTTGTATGTACAGGCTGCCATGCCACCCTCACACATTCTGTATGTACAGGCCGCCATGCCACCCTCACACATTCTGTGTATGTACAGGTCGCCATGTCACCCTTTCTCTGTTGGTTGTTGCAGGTTACCTAGAGATGTTTGTCGGTGGCCAGCAGCCCAACCAGGTACCGACTGTTCCATCCAATATAATGTCAGGATCAGTGTTGATTGACGGCACCGTGATTCTAGGGAAATATTAGTCGTCATGGTATCTCGTTTTATCATGTCATCATGTCGCAAGATGAAATATTCTTTTAAATGTTTCATGTCTGTATTCTTAATTTCGTGTTCACTGTAATAAATCATCATAAAACTGCTGTTATTGACACTGAATGTACAACTGTTGATATGTCAGTGGTCGACACTGAATGTATAATGTCTTGTATAGACTATATTCGTGAGTTATTTGGCTCTGACCAACTTTCTACCCTCGTGTTCCATCGCTTGCACAGGTGAACGGCGCCGTCAATTTGAAACGTGTTATTATGTGGGTCACCACGGGAGTATGCGTTTGTATGTATTATCCATTTTCTTCCACGCAAGTTACGGCCACAGGATACATATTTTATTTTATGCAAAGAAACCTGAATGGCAACGAAGAGGTTTTTTTTAAATCAGCTATCAACCGATGGTAGCTAGTGGCTTCCGACCCAGAATTCTATAGTGTGCATTAGGCATTCCGTCGAGGGACACAGGGAAACCCCGGATAGTTCTAACTACCTACCAACGGAGTACATGCAAAGACAACCGGCTACATGTTAGAACCGACAAGACCCGTGAACAAGCGTAGCCCCAGACATGCATGGTATGTCAACTTGACCTTCTTGTCGGCGGTAAGTTGAAACTTGCTCATTTTCAAACGTATGCCAAAAACTAATAATTGTTTCATGATGTATGTGAAATACCCATAATATAATCATGTGTTTACTTGAAAACACATTTGTTTGTATTTTATAACTTTAATGGCCTACATAAATCGGACCTTAAACAGAGGTGTGTCAGCGATTTAGAGTTATGTGCCCTTGATGTTAGGAAAACAGCTGACGACAAGGCGACAGATAGGTTTTACACACTTTGGGAAAACACCGCTTAACATCTTCAAACTTTCTTCAATTCTCCAGTAAAAGTATTCATACAGCTTTCATTCCATCATGATTGACGAATGTCAAAATACAATTGATAAAGAAATATTTATTTTCAGGATTTTCATATTTCTGTTTAGGTTTATGTTGAGTTCAATGTCATGATATTTCTCATGGGAGATAATGTCATTATATGCTTTTGTTGTTTGGTAGCAATGAATAAATTGTAAAACGTTCAAAAGATGCATTATTTCTACATATTAACAAGACTTTCATCATATCAATTAATTTTGTAGTCCCTTCGTTTTTAATTGACAAGGAGAACAAGAATGACAAGGTATTCCAAATCGATATCATAGCCTGTAACATATTTATGCCATTTATTTCTGGGGAATGCCCATCAATTACCGCAGAGATAAGAAAAGTCATATCAATGTAGCATTTGAGTTGCGTCAGAGACGATATTCAGTGAGGGGTAAAATATGTTTTTACTAATTTCAATGTATTCCTATTTAACAGGATTGATCAAGACCCTTCGTGAAGAGGAACTCGGTTGTACAGCACCAACGTCATAAGAGACTTATCTTATATACAATCTGATATATATGAGGTCGCAATTGTAAATTTGCGTTTAGCCCAGTCATTGGAATAAAAGTTTGTAAATTCACACTCCTTGTCCAGTGCTTGTGAACTTGATACAGGACAGAACCTGCTCCTTTTTATAAGTCCTTCGTGTGTACTTCCCGAGCAGCAAACAGTCCTCATGAGGAGATTGTTCTTATAGTCACTGCAACTATGTATATTGCATGCTGTATATAAAATGGATACTCGTACTTGTCTGTATACAAAATATATATCTGAATTCCAAAGTCATTGCCATTAAAAACAGTTTTATACGTTTATCTGTAAGTACATTTCATGATCAATATATAAATCGGCTTCCAAACAGCAAGGATCTGAAAAGAAAATCTGGATAGAACATTTACTGTTAGCAGAGGACCATAGTTGTGATGGTTTCAATGTCCACCTTCCCACAGCACGGATCTGAAGAATTATGAGCTTTTAATTGAATAGTAAATTTAATAGCTCATTCCTAACCAGTACCAGGTTTCCGGCAGCACTGGGCCCCGGGTCCCGGTGTACATGTTGTCACGTGAATATCAGCCGTAACCTTATCGACCGCATTCACCCGTCTTTAATAAACATGGATGCTGGTGTCTATAACTTCACCCCTTAGCTTGGTCTTACATCGTCCAACTGAAGAAGAAGAAGTTTATTTCATGAATGAAGGCCACTTGACCCCGAGTTCATTTACAGGAATAATATATACTATGCACATGCACAAATTTTCTTACAACAAACGTTCATCTTTTTTGACATTTGTATTTACATAGGTAAGTGTCTTCATAAATATATGGACAGGTTTTTAATAATACAGTCATTTCTGGTAGATAGAAGACTGACAAATTTTGGGACAGATGGTTGCACATGGTAACATTTTGGAATTAATTTTTTCTCTACTGCTTTTATAAAAAGGACAAATTAACAAAAACATGGTATTCATTTACTATTTCATAGCGGTTACATTTCATACATAAACTAAACGATGACTCTGTGGTTGTATTAAATCGAGTTTTCTGTAGATTTAGATTATGGCTTAAACAACGGAATTTACATAAAAATCTAAGAAGATCTCTTTACCAAGCTAAAGTAGACATATATTTTTCTGGTTCGAGTAGTGATTTATAAGATGAATAAACCTCAAGGAAAGAAGAATTTATTATTTTGTAATGCCATTTTTGAAATTCTATATCTTTACATCGTTGTTTGAATATAACCATGAAGCATTTCATATCGCCGCAATCCTGAGACAACCACACATATGGAAACCCAGTTTGAAACAATAATCGTCTTATATAAGAAACCCAGTTAGTTTGACCATTTTCGTCAAATGCTTTTAACATATGGTAACAGGCATACGGATATCTTGTTTCATGTAAGCTAAGTTGTCGACACCAGTACTTAATGCAACGACTGTAATAGTCTGTAATAGACTGTTCTATAAAAGAACAGGAGCAATCCTTGAATCAAATATTTTAGCAGCAGTAGAAAATGGGAGAGATGGGAATTTCTTTATCATATTTAACAAAGGAAAAGTCGCTTCCCTTGCTTGAATAGCTAGTGTATTACATGCTTTAGTCCAAACAATCCTTGAAGAGAATAGTAGACCAAGGTATTTGAAATATGATACAACTTCAATTTGCGAACCTTTATAAAACCATTTCTCAGTTTTCCTCAGATAACCACCGTTTCTAAAAACTATGACTTTTGTCTTATCTAAATTAACTTCAAGGCCCCATTTGTCACAATAAGAGTCTAAAGCATCTAGTTTTCTCTGCAGTCTAATTACACAATCGTCAATAAGAGTGACATCATCAGCAAATAATAATAACATGATTTCATGAAAATTATCTTTCACAAATATGCCTCTTAGCCCAAGACTCTCCATTTCACGTACAAACTCGTTTATAAAAAGTATGAAAAGAACAGGACTCAACATACATCCTTGTTTAACACCACTTGTTGCGTTAAAAAGACTTGTTTTCACATCTTCAACCCTTACACATATTACGCTTTTATATTTTCATACACATTTCTAAGGATAATAAACATTTTACCATGAACACCTCTCTTTAATAACACATATAACAACTTTTTTTCTATCTACATAGACGAAGGCTTTTCTAAAGTCTACGAAACAGGCATACAATCTGTGGTTTGATTTTCTAAGATATTTCTGACACAGGGATTGTAGAACAAAAATTTGATCAGTTGTGGAATAAGCATTTCTAAATCCCGCTTGTGCTTTGTGTAGCATATCATTAACTTCGACCCAGTTTCGTATTCTCAGTTCCAGTACTGAAGTGAAAATTTACCAACAATATTTAAAACCGAATTTCCCCTGTAATTATCCGGGTTTCGAGCGTCACCTTTTTTATACAGTGGGACAATCATTCCTATATTCCACTCATCTGGAAATTCGCCACGATCAAATACAGAATTATAAAGTATATTTAAATATGACACAATGGAAAGAGCATGTTTATAGAGTTCAGGAGGAACACCGTCAATACCAGGTGCTTTACCAGACTTTAAACTTCTAATAGCTGCCCTTATTTCATCGTCAGTAATATCTTCGGACAGTATGTCTGTAGTATTACAATTGTCACAGTTATCATAATCATGTTTTAAAATAAACTCTTTCAGAATTATATCAAAATCACTATGTGATTTTGTATCTTTGATATTTAGCCATTTTTTGAAGTAGTTGTACCAATCATAACTTGATACACTGTTGTGAACCCTGTTAGAGCGCAGCAAGGATTTGATCTTTCTCCAGACCATTTTACAGTCGTTTGACTGAACAGCAGATTCAATCTCGAGAACGACAGACATTTTAAAAGCTTTTTCCTGTTCATAACACAATTTACAGTATATCTTCTTTGCTGTCAGGTAATATTCTAAATTTTCTCCAGATCTGTATCATATCTATCATATGATCTATTTCTATTGATAGCTTTAAAGTGATCGCCAGCATATTGGAGTAATTGGACAATTTTAGCAGTCGCTGCATTTACATTGATTTCGTATGTACAACATCAAGAAAATCATTAACTATATGACTGCTCATTTTCGAGTTAAATCGACAGTCTGCCTGTGATATGGCGCACTATGGGAAATACATGGAAGTTTTAGCTGACATGAAACTGGTAGATGAACAGAGTCTGGTCTGGAGTGAACAGCTAGATCTATGATATATTGGAACATGTTTGATGATGCGATAAAATAATCTACCAAGCTAGTGCCCCTATTACTGACACATGTAAAACTTCCCTCTTGGTCACTAACTGATCTTCCATTGACAATATGTATTCAGAAGCTTTTACATAATTGGAGAAGTAACAACCCATAGCTGTTTACAATACCGTCTTGCGTAGCCCTTTGTTGACAAAAGTCGTCGCATATATATATACGTATCAGCAAGTGGAATACAGTCCGAGTCGGTTTCGTCCTCCACTATAAAACCATCGTTATCTCCTACTCTGGCATAAAAGTCTCCACACAGCGGGATATCTACATTTTCGTCATATTCTGATTTCAAGATGGCTAACTTTACGTCCAAGTCATCAACACCATTATTATCAGTATCCGCACAAAGCGGGGATGTATCTGGGAGGACATATACAGAGCCTAAGATTAACCTTTTACTGGGTGTGTTTAAGCATATAAAGACAGAATTTATCCAGTCTGGATGAATTTGTTCAACATAATTTAACAGTACGTTCCTCACGTACACAGCAACTCCGCCTGAAAATCATGCAGAGTTTTTCATTCTCCACGCAGGTGATGCAAAACAAAAAAAGTCTGGGAAAATGTTTCTAATCCTGTCAGTGACAGGTTGCATGGTCTCTATCAGGCAAAATATTTCATATTTCTGACAAAAGTTCAAAAAGTTTGTGTCTTGAATGTGAGAATGAATGCCTTGCACATTGCAAGCGCAGAAATTTATGTTAAATGTCGGGCTGAGAGGCGTTGTCTGTTGACGGGGCGGTTGACGTGACTCGGGCTGGTACTTCAGTGGGCCACGGCCGCCTTCCTAGTCTGAAGGAGAAGAAAGAGAAGCGCGAGAAGAAGAGCCTTCGGCGCGTCTCCCTTCGCCCTTACTCTGGGGGCCGGTTGGGCTATCCGCCCTATCCGCAGGAGAATAGTGACGGGGTCTGCTCGAGGTCTGTTTTTACCTCGTTTACTACCCACCCAATCCGGCTGAGCCACCCTCCGAGAGCACAGGCGACGTTACAGTGAACACATCACACACTGACTTCAGCAAAGGAAATCTTTATATCTGCACCTTGCTGGGCACAATCTATATACTAGTATCCCTCTCGCCACTGGACAGGTGCAGCTGCACGTATGTTGTGCCCTTAAACCTACAATGGTCTTAAGTCTACAATATTCATGAGTGGGCGTGGCTTGTGTATGCACGTGACACTATCTTCCTCAAAGCTGTTGATGTCTAACGAACGCATCGCTGTCTCGGCTGTCATTGTGCGATACGATGTTTCCCTCACAATCTCTACATCAGGTATATAACATGTAGTTTATGTGTCTTTGAATATTGTGCTGGACTATATTTGCGAGCCTCGACTTCGGACAGATCGAAAGTTCCGAGAATTACAGAGTCAACCCAACTCGCCTCACTCCGAAACATTCGGTGGTGTACATTAGCCCTGATCGAAACATTGACATGTCTTTGCTATTACTCGCAGATCCAACACATTAAAAACCTCTTGTCATCATGCTCCATACTTATACAATATACCTTTCTCTACTTGTTATATTCAAGAGCAAAGCAATCTCTGCGTGTGGCAAAAGTTGGTCAACTACAAGATGCAACTACATATTTTTTATTTCCGAAACCCTGAAAAGATTCCAGGGAGTAGATTCACATGGTGTCCAAGAAAAAGAGTTATAATGCTTGTGATATAAATATATAAAATAAAATCCAAATGGTGCCTAGAACAATGTTTATTAATCAGGCCCATGGCTCAGGCAATTAGGACTTGCCAAATCATTCTAGACTTGAGATGGCTCCCTTTCTCCATTTATTCTAATGTGTCTGAGAGACAGAGGTTCAGGAATGTGCAATCTTCTTTCTGGATAAAAATAACCATATGAACAGATTCTGAACAGAAAATGAAGTAAAAAGTATGAAATTCAATTCCATGTATTAAAGTGACACAACATTAATCTCCAAACAAAAAATATATGATATGATGCCCTATTTGTATAAAATCTGTTTGGAATTTATTTTTCAAATTCAATATACATCTATGAATA